CATAAGTCACTCTCACTTGGTTCAAGTCAAGTTCAAAAAGTTTCATGTTAATGTTCAAATCCTTACTTGCATTCAAATTCATTTCATGTTTTAAGTTCAAGTATTTTTATAAATCACTTTGTGTTCAAATGCAAGTCCAAATTATTTGTGTTAAATTCAAGTTCAAATTAATCACTTAAATTTCATGTCATTTTGCATTTTGTCCAAGTTCAAGTTCAAGTACAAGTTCCAGTAAAAGTTCAAGTTCAGTTTGTATGTCCCATATTGTCCTTTGAGTTCGTTCAAGCTCAAATATCAGTTTCATGAGTTCAATCAAGTCATTTGATGTTCAATAAGGTCCCAAATTAGTTGTATGTTCATCCAAAATTTCGGTAGCCTCCCGGCCTCTCCCCGTTTAGGGAAAAAGCTAAGGAAAACTAGGCCTCCCGCCACGCTAGAGAAAAGCGTGTACGGTAGGTGCCCTCAGACGAGGACACCGCGGCCATGAAATTCTTTAATCCCATTCCAGAAAAAGGCGTGTATGGGTCTTTAGTACTTGTTGCAAGAAAAACAATCATTTCCCCACAAGCGAGTACTTATGAATATCATTGTCTCATCGTAGGCGTCGCACCGGGTTCCCATCCCGACACGCTAGAGAAAAGCGTGTATGGACGGTTTTCCTGCATGACATAAATGTCAAGAAAGAGAATTTAGATGATTGTTCGCTTCGTCGTAAGCACCGCACCGGGATCCTTTCCCACCACGCTAGAGAAAAGCGTGTATGGACGGTTTGCCGGTGCACCGCGAACTCTGAAACGAGAATCTAAGTTGGAAATTTATATCTTCGTGATGGTTGGCGATGACGGTGAGATGCACAAAAACCTCTTTTTTCTTTTCTTTTTTTTGGAAATAATCTCACATACTTTTTTTTTTGAAACTCACCACATCTCTTTTTTTAGAGTACTTTAACATAATAAAGTATATAAATAAATCTAATAAAAATTAGTATAATCATAAATTTAAAAATATATATATTTATATACATAGAATAACATATATATATTTATGCACAGAGAATAACACGCATATATATATGACAGCAAATGAACTAATTAAATACTAATTAAACTTTATATGTATAACAACAAAATGGACTAATTAAATGATACAAAAAAAAAGAATTTACTTTTTGAATTTTGAAGGGAAGATAGACTTACTGCTACAGGTAATTAGAATAAAAAAAATATTATATAGCATATATGTTAACATGACTTCCCCCTCTTTTTTTTACTAACAATAAAGAACAAAATATTTATAACTAAAAAAAAAAGTTGGTGCTGTTAATAGAAGTAATAACTAATAACATATTGCTAAAAAAAATTAAAGAAAAGCTGTATACTTCCAATTTTGTAAATCATTTGTTTTGATTAGTAGATTACCTAAACTATCTTAATTAATTAACTAAAAGAAAAGAAATTATCAAAGGTAAAGTGTGTAGATGAAGTAACTCCTTATGGCTACAGTGAGAGATTTAATTTAATGTAACTAATATCTAGAGAAGAAAAAACTTGTTTAAATCATTTCTGTCAAAGCTAAAAAAAAGTCGTTAATGCCTGATTCAGTCAAAAAAATAATAATTTGTCTTGTAGCAAAAACTTGTCATGTAGCAAAAGAAATTGTGGGTCTATATGGAATTTGGCAAGGTTCATGTAAAAGTGGAACAAGATTCGGTACTATAATTTAAAAGGCTTTCAGTCATGGTTTGAAAAGTTGTAGCAAGATTACAAGTTAAAAGGGGTTGTTGAACTGGGATCTTGAGAGAAATCAGACCTTGAAGGCGTGAGGCTTGCGTGCGAAGGAAGAAGGTTGTGTGGAGTGAAGTGGAGTCCGAACCAGTGAGGGAAATCTGACAAACTACGACAGCTATGAGGAAAGAATGGTGTGGAGGTTTGTTTAGCGGGACAATTGAGCAGAGAAGTGTACGTGGAGGCGAAAAAGAAGGGGAGAAATGTCTACAAGTTGTTGGTTGGCTGGTTATGAAGAAAGTTTATGGTTGAATCCGGGGGAGGAGAGTAGCAGTTCTAGGGTTTTTTAAGTGAATAGAGGGAGGACGACCCTTCTTGAGCGAGAGATCCTGAGCTTTTAAATTTTTTTTTTTTCATATCAACGAGAGAGATTTGAGCGTGATCGACTGAGTAAAAGTTTTCTCAGCATAGCTTCTCAGCGGAATTTGACATTTCAATTGACTTTGATATTTTTATTGAAGTTTTATTAGTTTAGTATTCACAATGATGATCCGTCGTCATTATTAGTTAATATGAAATATCTGTTACGCGCCAAAAGTTCAAACTCATTTTGATCCGCATGCATTTCCTCAAAATACGTGCAATCACCTCAAAATTTATGTAGTTTCTTTGGAGTCCATGTCAGTTTCGCGAATTTAGAAATTAGACGAATTGGTAGGGCATTTAGGGTATTGTCGATATCCCGGTCACAACAGCGTAGTACGTTTTGCAATCAGACGTCATTTCATCACCGACGAAACTAATTTCTCTCCTAACGCATGCCTTTGCATCATATTTGAATCGTCTTTAAAATTTGTGACACCACCTCAAACGATACAATTTGATCAAATAAAATGTAGACTCTTAATGTCAACGACATTCCGGATGCAATCGAACGTGATGTCATCTCCGTAGAGGCGAATTTCCGCAATATGCGTGCCTTCGTATCATATTTAAATCGCCTTTGAAATTTGCGACACCATCTCAAATGATCCAATTTGATCAAATAAAATGTAGACTCTTAATGGCGACGACATTCCAAACGCAACGGTTCCATCTGTTTGTCGATCTGACGTTGTTTGATCAGTGCCATATTTTAATTTTGGGTGTCGGTCGTCCCTTTTGGGCGATCTCATCCGATTTGACTGCGAGGGACCTCGACCTAACATTTCAATGTTCTGATCAGAATGACATCATATGTTTGACAATTATATATCATTTTACCCTTCAAGTGGCGCGTCGTACCAACCCGCGCATTGCTCGATTCACCATTCTCATCATTTTCCCACGTAGTTTGAGTGGTGGGGTCCCCACGTTATTGAGGAACCACTGCTCTGCTTCATTTGGAAATGAAATCAACTCATTCTTCATGATTTCCAAAATTTGGATATAGCTGATACTACTCAACGGCACTATTAAAAATAATGATGGATTATTTATAATGAACTCATTGAGTATGAGCTGGCATCCTTCAGTGTCATTCACTTCTTGACATCTCGTAAGAGAGATCAAGTTTGGGAAATGACTATTTGAAGAGCTGTAAAAATTTTTAATACCTTGTAGCCAGTTACAATCCTTCTAACCAATGTCATTCCTCCCCATTGCAGGCCTAACATCCACAAATAAATGTATCTTCAATTTCTTTAGATTGTTGTGTGGTTAAAGGTTATTAAGCACTCCCCTACTTAAATTGGTGTTCTTC